AAAATCAGCCACGAAGTCTACTAGTATCTGAGACTTGATGGCCGTTCGGGGTTGATACTCGATATCGTACCCACTGAGTTTGACGGCGTGGATAAGTGGTTAACACACATATGGGGTGACATTGAAAGTATGGTTTTAACTTTCTAGAGGCACTTATCAATGCAAGTGCTAATTTCTCTAAGTGTGGATATCTAGTTTCTGCTTCCCCTAAGGTCCGACTTATATAATAAATGGGAAATTGCATACCTTAATCTTCTCTAACTAAGACACCACTCACCACGATTTTCGACACCGCCAAGTACAAGTAAAGTTTCTCATCTGCCTTCGAGGTGTAAAGTAATGGTGGGCTCCATAAGTATCGCTTTAATTCCTCTAATGCCTGTTGTCACTCCGAGGTCCAGGTGAAATCGTTCTTCTTCTTGAGTAAAGAGAAAAATCTGTGGCTTCGATCCGATGACCTCGAGATAAATCGGCCTAAAGTAGCTATCCGCCCAGTTAGCCTCTGCACGGCTTTTACACTGTCCACGACGATGATGTCTTTGATTTTATCGAGGTTGATCTCAATTCCCCGATTTGACACCATGAAGCCTAGGAACTTGTTCGAGCCAACCCCGAAAACACATTTCTCGGGGTTGAGTTTCATGTTGTATTTCCTTAAAATCTCGAACGTTGCCTACAAATGAGCCAAATGGTCCTCTGGCGTAGGGACTTAACTAGCATGTCATCAATATAAACTTCCATTGACTTACCTATTTGTTCTTTAAACATCTTATTTACTAGGAGTTGGTAAGTAGCCCCTACATTTTTTAGCCCGAAGGGCATTAGATTATAACAATATGTTTCGTACTTGGTGATGAATTAGGTTTTCTCCTAGTCTTCTAGGTTCATCTAAATTTGATTGTACCCGGAATAGGCGTCGAGAAAGGTAAGGATCTCGTGGTCAGTCGTGGCATCGATCATGCGATCGATGTTAGGCAGTGGAAAAGAGTCTTTAGGGCATGCCTTGTTCAAATCCTTGTAATCTACACACATTCTAAGTTTGTTCCCTTTTTTTAGGGACTATGACTACATTGGCTAACCATTCGGGGTATTTTACCTCCCGAATGGACCCTATTTTGAGAAGTTTAGTTACCTCATCCTTTATGAATGCATGTTGTACCTCGGACTAGGGCCTTCTCTTTTGTTTCACCGATATGAACCAGGGGTCGAGGCTTAGCTGATGTCTTGTTATCTCCGGTGGGATCCCTGTCACGTCTAAATGGGACCAAGCAAAACAATCTATGTTATTGATACGAAATTGGATAAACTTTTTCCTAAGTTCGGGGGTCAACCCCGTTCCTAGGTATACCTTTCGCTCGGGCAGATGCTCGATCAATATAACCTGTTCCAGCTCCTTGATAGTTGATTTGGTAACGTCGGAGTCTTCGGGAACAATAAAGGTTCGAGGGGTCAAAAAATCCTCCTCATCTTCTTCTATCTCCTGCTTTCCCAATTCAGTCGAGGCTGGTGGCTGTGATTGCTATTTGGTTTCCTGTTTGCCTTTGATGCTCGACCTTTCCAGAGTTGATAAAGTCGACACTGGTATCACCTCGTTAACTGCAAAAATTTCCCTTGCCGCATGCTGCTCCCCGTACACTATTTTCACACAGTCCAATGTTGGGAATTTCATCATTTGGTGGAGAGTCGAAGGAACTGCCCTCATGTTGTGAATCCAAGGCCTTCCGATTAGGGCATTGTATCTCATGTCACCCTCTATCACGTGGAATTTGGTATCTTGAATGGTTCCAGCCATGTTCACTGATAGAGTAATCTCCCCTTAATTTGTTTCACTGGCCATGTTGAAGCCGTTTAAGACCCGAGCTGCGGGCACACTTTGATCTTGTAGGCCGAGCTACTCCACGACCCTCGATCGGATCATATTCGCCGAGCTACTTGGATCCACTAAAACACGCTTAACTTGAACTTTATTTAATAAGATAGAAATTACCAGAGCGTCATTGTGTGGTTGAGAAATGCCTTCTGCTTCTTCGTCGTTGAATGATAAGGAGCCATCGGGCACATAATCACGGGTCTATTTTTCCCTGGTAATCGATACCTTAGTGCGTTTGAACACGGGCCCTTTGTAGGATATCAGCCCCGCCGATGATCATATGAATGACATGTTGAGGTTCTTCCTGTGTTTTCTTGTTGGCGTCTCTGTCTCTGAAATGATTCTTGACTCGATCGCTGAGGAACTCTCGAAGTGGCCCTGGTTGAATAGTCGGGCTACCTCCTCCCTTAATTGCCTGCAATCCTCGGTCTTGTGACCCTGTGTGCCATGATATTTACACATCAAATTTGGGTTTCTTTGAGAAGGATAAGGTTGTATTGGTTTGGGCCATCTAGTATCCTTGATTCTTCCGATTGCCAATACAATGCCTGATGCGTCGACGCTAAAGTTATATTCCGATAACTGAGGTGCCTCCACGGGATCAGCATGCTTATCAAAACCACTTTTGCTCATAAGTCCCCGAGAATTTTGTCCTCGATCATTTTTTCGATCATTCTGGGATGGATTGCGTCCCGAGCCATTATTTCTTCGATCTGCGGCATATGGTTGATATCGTTCCTTGTTCGACCTTAGTTCCCTATCGGTGTCCCTCGGGGCTTTAACTGCCAACCTGTTTGGATGAACTGAACCTGAAGGGGCTCATAACTGGTCATCCTCGACCCTGATCTTTGATTAATATCGATTGTGCACATCTTCCCAAGTTACAGCTAGATACTCGATTAAATTTTGTTTCAACTGTCACGGTGCTATCGAACTTCGCTCGTTCAACCCCTGGGTGAAATCTTGATCAGCCTAATCATCTGTGATCGGTGGTAACTCCATATATTCCATTTGAAATCGGGACACGAACTCCCTCAACATTTTGTTATCTCTTTGTCTTATCTTGAAAACGTTCAATTTTCTAGTTGCGACCTTTATGGCCCCGACGTGTGCCTTTACAAAAGAATCCGCTAACATGGAAAATGAGTCGATGGAATTTGGTGGCAAGTTGTGATACCAAATCATTGCTCCCTTTGATAGAGTTTCCCCAAAATTTTAAAGCAAAATGGACTTGATCTCATCGTCTTCTAAGTCATTTCCATTTATCCCTCATGTGTACGAGGTGATATGTTCATTAGGATCGGTGGTCCCATTGTATTTCAGTATATCCGACATACGGAACTTCTTAGGAATGGGCTTTGGAGCCGCACTCTAAGGGAAAGGCTTCTGCACGAACTTTTTTGAATCCAAACCCTTTAAGATCGGAGGTGCCCCCGGTATCTGATCAACTCGGGAGTTGTATGTTTCCACTTTTTTATCATTATCTTTGATCTTCTTTTCTCCCGACGCAATTCTTTTGCTGAGCTCCTTGATCATTTTCATAATTGTAGGATCAACTCCTGATCCGTTACCATTCGTCATTTCCAGCACTGGCTCGGTACGACGAGTGATTTCCAGCTCAACCACACTCGGAGTTCTATGTTGACTCTGAAGCTGAGCAATAACGGCCTGTTGAGCCTGTAGCATCTCGAATATTACCTAGAGACTAACTCCCCCATCTCCTACGCCCTGTGTTCCTTGGCCACTAGATCGGCCTTCCCTGCGCACACTCTCTTTGGGTTCCACGCCTAAGTCTGTGTTCAAAGCAATGTGCGAAATGACATCGATTGGATCGGCAATTGGTACTTCCCCAGGGTTAATCGATGGCACCCTGGCTCCTAGAGCAATTACTTTATCGTTTTCCCATGAAATCCAAGACCGTTATCACCATGTACGGGTGTGTTTTGTGAGTTTGACATGTTTTAACCTGAGAACAAAAAATCTTTGACAAGAACAAGCGTGAAAATAACATGTGTTATCAGAATCAGTACTGAAATAATCACAATTATCTTTAGCCCCACGGTGGGCGCCAAACTGTTTACCCTAAAATCCGAGTAACAATTAAACTTATACTGTGGTCTTAAAGATATGTGATTTAGTCCAATACCAATTGATAAGCAAAGAATCAAATGTATAAATTAAAGAATAAAGTAAGTCAAACCAATGTGCAAGCCAAGTCTCGACCTCGAGTTATGACAGTCTCGAGGTGGGTCAGTGAGAACAATAAATTATAAGGCAATTCTGATGAACAGTAATCAAGAAAAATGATGAATGTATATTCTCTTGTCAATAGATAATGGTGTTACAAATGATTGGGCTTCCCTTTATATAATAGGGGAGCCCTAAATAAGGTTCACTTCCAATTTTAATAAGGAATTTTATTGGACAACTGTCTAACTGCCAAGTACTAATCCGTTCCGGAATTCACGTCGTGATCTTAGGGCTGTTGTGGAAATCTTGCTCTTTCTGTTAAAAAACCATAACAACATTATCTCGAGGTTGGTCATACTCGAATTTGGTTTTCATCGAGCACTTCGAACTTCAAGTTCTATACTCCGCCATCAGGCTCGAGCCAGGTCCGTTTTGAGCTTATTCTTGAAGCAACTCCTCGAGCCTACGAAATCGGGCATACCTGATTTCAAGCGTACAAACATAACTTTCACGAGGGAAATAAAGTAGCACATCTTTTGGCAAGCGGAGGATCCAAGCAAGCAAAACTTGGCACCTTGTTCCAGTCCCACCATTGTTTGTTAATGCAGCTATCTTAGAAGATAAAATAGGAACAAGTTTTGAGAAAGCCATATCAGCCCGTGTTTGTAATAATTTGGCAAAACTTGGTATGCTTGTAACAGTGGTGGAAGTAGATTCAAAAAATAAAAATAAAAAGTAAATATGTGACACCTAATATATGCAAATATGAAGAAAAAAAATTAACCCCTTATACGAAGGAGGTTCGGTTGAACCCCTTCCGGCCACCTAGCTCCGCCCCCGCTTGTAATGACATTTTAGTACTTTAATATTAATACAAGGATCTTATTTAATTACCAGGAAAAAAAAAAGAAACAAGATAAAAGTTCTATAAATTCGACAGACATAAACAACACTCACAATGATTTGGATCTCTACTTGGTGTTCATAAAGTCTTTCAATAGTTCATACAATACTAATTCAAGCAATGATGCAATACAATTACTATCCGAATTGCAATCAAACAATAAATGACAGCTAAAATATTTCCAACAGTCTTTGAAGTCGGAAAGAAGCTAAACCTACTACTACTAGTATCAGATTGCAATAAAATCCTTAATCCTTTGGCTCCTCCTTTTGATCTCCAAAAGGAAAAGGAGAATACATGAAAAAACTTGAGGGGACTAGTGTTGAACAACATCTGTAGATAGCAAGCTAAATATTACCATGTCTCCTGATTTCCCCTTTATACTCATGAACTTTCTTAGAACACCTTCTCTCAAGAACCCAACTTTTTCTAGCACTCTTTGTGATCCTTTATTGTCAATATCCACCAATGCCTCAATCCTCTCCAGATTTGACCACTCTGAAAATATGGTAGTTGCCACCATTTTCACTGCTCTTGTGACAATCCCTTTACCCCAATACTTGTAAGCCAAGACATATCCAAGTCCAGCTCTACAACTATCAATATTACCAGAATTTGGTGTCACAGAAATTGCCCCAATTGCCCTGTTTTTAATGCAGATAACTCTCAACCATGGATGGGGAATAGCATTATTCTTGATATAATCCAAAGCTTGGTCTTTGGAAGTGTAAGTATCCCAGATGCAAAAATGGCTGACTTTTTCATCTGTTGCCCACTCCATGAAATCATCCACATCTGACAGTTCAATTTGCCTGAGAGTGATTTCAGTGAATTCATATTCGCTTTCTTTTCCTTCTGATTTGCTAGTTGTTTCATCCATTTGCTTATAGCTCTTCTCCAGGAACTCTATGTAAAGATGAAAACAATCAAAACTAAATGTATCACGGTTTCGTGGACAATTTTGGGATGGTGGCTTTGCAAATTCCAAGGGTGAAATTTATGATGAAAATTTGAGCGAAGGGGTCAGTTTTGGTGGGCTTTTTTGGACTATTCTATACTTGGAGGAAAGGCAAGAGGTGTATAAAACATAGAATTTCCAAGAAAAGCAGTTGACCAAGATGGAGCTATGATATGATCTGTGATTTTTACAACTAATCTCCGAGATATAGGGATGAGAGAGCTAGCATGTTCAACTATGGCTGATTATCAAAATATAAATACGATAAAAAAAATCATAAAATTTGATCACAAAGCCAAGAAATCAGCTAAATGCCAAGATACTTTCCACGTTATTAAGCAGAGCCAAATATTTATCCTCCAGACATGGATACATTTAAGATAAACATAAAGTGTGTAAATATGTGACTACTTGGTTTTTCAGTTAGATTTAGTAGATTTTCTGAGGATTTATTGTCTGATTAACAAGCCATAAGTTAGTGAGTTTAAAGTGATAAAAACTAATTTAGTGGGGTAACTTTTTATAAGATAATCATAAGTTGAATGATTTTGAGTTTAAGTTTGTGTACATATCATTGATATGTACTTCCCCGGGCTACTTTAATTGATTTTTTGGCCTTTTTTATGGACCATGATATTTAATTTTTTTAGATATTAAGAAGGAATTTTTTCAGAATTATCCTTGGAGTAAAGAGTTATGATCAATTTAATTGTTAATTAATCTATACTATATTAAAAGTATGAAGGCTCTTAGCGAAATTCTTTTTTTTTTTTTTACCTTAAAAAATAGAGTTTCCACTAGACAAAATAGTCATTTTATTGTTATCCTAATATTTAGTACTTTAAAATCAACTAAAAAATTTATGATTAAATATTTACTTATTTGAACTAGGTAAGAAGTCCTAAAATTTAGGAATTTAAAGTCAATCAAAATTCTACCTTACATAAATATTTTTTTATTTAAACTATATATGTAACATAATAATATTTCTTATATGTACTTTTCATGGATGTATATTCTGTGAAAAAAGAGTAATTAATAAAATTAAAGTAACTAGCTTATCCTGTAATTTTTATGCTAATAAAGAGCACGTTAAAAAAATGTACGAACAACACAATTTTGATTTAAAAAATAAAATATGAAAGCATCAATGATAAGTCATATTTAAGGTAAGAGGTAGGGAATATTTTACTTTGAAGAGGAATTAGGACGGTTTTTTTTCCCTTTGAACAATAGAAAGATCAAGAATTGGAAGTATACTCAAATTTTTGCCCATTTTTATTATCTAAATATTAGAAAATAACCAAATGATAATCTTTTTTAAATGCTAAATAAGATAATAACTGTTAATAATAATTGAGTTTGGATAAGATAAGGTTACAATTAATAGACAATTTTTTTTAAATTATTGGTAAATTAGCTGACATAAATTTTATAACTAACATGAAATATATATGCAATGCACATACCCAAGTGCTAAGTAAAGTTGAAGATCTTAGGTACTTCTATGATTTTTTTGTACAATTAAGCAAGTACAAGAACAAGTTGAAGGAAAAACCATTATAGTGGATCAAACTCTTAAATATGATTAATTTTATCATTTTGAAACTTGTAAATTTTTATTAATTTTAATATTATAATGCAAATATAATTTTTAAATATTTTCTGTTGTTTTTAGAAATTTATTTTCACGCATGCGTATACTAAGGCTAATACCATTAAAAAGTAGTCGTTTGGTATGTGGACAAAATAGTACCGATATTATAATTTCGGAATTATAATCCCGGTATTAATTTATACCACATAAAAAAATGAGATATAATAATTTCACAATTGATGATATAAAATAGGATAAGATGTAGGATTATGTTTATACCTTATTTGGTTAGAGGTATAAATTTATCCTCCAACCAAACAAGGTACAAATTTAATCTCAAATCTTATTGCCCCTAATACCACGCGATCATAACTCTTTTAATCCCAAATCTTATCCATTATATCGCTCCAACTAGTGAAACGCGAGATCATCTTCCCCAAATTTTCTCCACGTCACCGATATTAATTTTTTTAATTTTATTCCTGCTCATAACAATCAATGAGTAGAGGGTCAACTTCTGCATTTGGATTCGGTCTGGATCAGCCAGTCATTTTTAAATTCCATTTTCTTATTAACAAAAAATCTGAGGCAGTACGAACTACGAATTGAAACATTAATTTTTAAATGGCTACATTAACTTCTAACTTAATCTCAATCTTCCCCTCCATAAATCCAATTTTGACCTTCCTCCTCCTCTCTCCGATCCTCGCTCGGATTCGCCGGAGACGGCATTCTGTTGTCATCTCCATCTGACATTAAGATGTCAGTCGCAGTCGAAATGTCGGAAACCACCGTCGAACGAGACAACGACGCCGAACCGTTGCTTGATTCTATAGATCGTAAGTTACGCATACATGATTACGGATATGTCTGTATTACGCAATTTTATTTCAATTTTTGTATGTGAGGTTAATTTTCTACAGTTATTATATTTTCTTAGCTCATTTTCTAGGAAAGGAAAGGAAAGGACTTGAGTTAAATAGTGTGGGAACCTGTTAGCAATCTCAAATACTGGCTAGTTCGTTATTAAAATTTCAAGTTTGATAATCGACAGCTGAAATTGTCAGCTTGTGAATATAGAGTTCCTAATCAATATGGTTTGTGACGTAAATCCATGTTGTCATGCTACAGGAATCACCTCGTTTTTTCCCTTCCATGATTTGAACCTGAGACCTCGTAGTTGTCCTACCAATTCATTAATCACGACAACACAATTAGATGCTAAAAAAATTTGCAGAACATTTTTGCTCATGTAATATTCAATCAAGTCCATCACCGGTAGGGAAACTTCTTGAAGTTTTCCATGGTGCTTTGAAGCATCATAATGAGGAGACCATTGAGAAAACCTTTGCAAAAGTAGAGGAGAGAGTGATACTGAGAGAACGATCTTTAACTCTTTCAAAGTGTTTAGTAGGAGTAATTAGTATTGGCTATTGCTAAGCAGTAACAGGCACCTTATCATGAATTGCCAGTAACTACAACTTCATCATAGAAATGGCTCTATCAACCTTAATTTCTTGTAGGTTGTGAAACCAACTGCAGACTCAGGATCTGTGCATTTAGGTGATACTTGTACTAGGATCTGAAGGGGCGTGTTGAAGGGGAGTAATAAAATTTAAGTAACTAACAGTGTACTCTATGGTCACACATTTCAACAACATTCATGTTCCTAAAAGCTGGCATTCGTTCCAATAATTGTGGTATTATGGAGCTCATATTCAAATTCCTTATCTATAAATGTGCAGGAAAGGAGGATCTGCTGACAACCTCTGTCGAGGAAGATTCTAGTTCATCTAATAAAATTGGCCCTCATGGGAACAAATATTCTATTAGTTCAGTCAGATGCTTTGGGGTGGACCTAACCCCAGATAACATTGCAATTGCCCTGGTATATTTTGTTCAAGGTATCTTAGGCCTTTCAGATCTTGCTGTTAGCTTTTATTTGAAGGACAACCTGCACCTAGACCCTGCAGAGGTATGTCATCCTCATCTTGAATACTTTGTTACATTGTTGGTTGAGCTTCCACAATATAATAAAAGAATTTTCAGCAGATAAATCTTCATATTTCATCCAAAATTGCACATTCGAGTTGGAAAACTAATTACATAGCTTGAATTGACCAATGGACTTTGAATTTAGGGTACATTCTGAGTATGTTATTCGAAATACAAGCTTATTGAAATGAAATCTTCACTTTCCTTGGTTCATCTTATAAGTACCGTTCATTCTGAAGGATTGCGTATAGGTGTTCGTAACACGCAGCGGAAGACAATAACAATCCTAGACAGATCTTTTCGTGTTTAAAAATTTATTTACATGTCAATAGATCGGATCTAAGACGTACCTGGTGAAAAAAGTCTCGTTTCAAATTCTTCGATAGTGCGAAGACTCTGTGCGTATCCACACCGAGACTGATCCTTGCTATCAACTCTTTGATCAACGAAACCCGCGAACAAATTGAACAAAAACTTGTGCTGAAATTTTTCTCAAAAATCTCAACTCAAATTAGAAGAACAAGAAACACTTTTCTTGTTAATTGTATTTTCTCTCTTGGCTTTGTATTGCGCTCTCACTTTCATAAAGTATTTTTCTTCTCAAGAATTAAATAATACGACAAATTTTCTCCATCACCATTTATATAGCATCGCCTATAAACCCTTTTCCTATTTGGGTGAGGTAATGATTTACTTAGGGTAAAAATTTGTTCCAAAAATAAACTTGATAGAATTTTCTAGGAAGAATTCGTAATCCCATTCTCAATGGGCAACGTTACTGTCGATTTCATGGACTTTCCCAAAAGTCCAATTCCAAACATTGGAATTTTCTATTGAAAACAATGAAACCAAATTTGAGGTGGCAGACGTCCTTTTATGGACTTTTACGTGAATCTAAATTCCAATTGGAATTCACTTAATAAAGTTTCATCAAACCTTTTTTATTAGTAATATTTTCCTACTGGAAATATAATCCCATTCCAAATGGGTTCAAAATTGCCGACAAGTCCATATGGACTTTCCACGATTAATTAATCCAATTCAAAATTAGATTTACTAACAAAACTTTATTAATATTTTATATAACATTTTTTATATAAAATAAGTGTTAATTATATATATCACATATATATTTTAACCAAGAGATATAATT